ATCTATATTTATCTTTTTTTATTCTTTATTTAAAAAAACAACAAAAAACAAAAACTAGCTTTCTATTTTTTCTATTCTATCTACTTGTTTTTCTTTGTGTGTGTGTGTGTGTGTGTGTATAATATATATACACCTTGCTACGTGTACTGCGTTAGGCTAACCGAGACTTGTCATTTGCACTTATATATTGTTGCTCTTTTGTTAGTTTTGACTGCTTTTATTGTCCTCATTTGTAAGTCGCTTTGGATAAAAGCGTCTGCTAAATGACTAAATGTAAATGTAAATGTGTTTTTTGTGTCCATATACAAAGTCAATGCAACTCTCTCTGCGCCCTCTCCATGCCTTGTACTTCTCCAGGAAATCAAAGTCATTTATGAGCCTGTATTTACATTAAAATCAATTGAGCAATATATAGTCACTTGACAAACAGTCTGAGTCTTAGAGGCTTAAACGATTTCCTGTGTTCTTTAGATCAGCTGGTGTCAGTCATGAAGCCCATTGAGAAAATGCTCTTGCAGGATGACAGGATTGGAGGGTGGCCAGACTGACCTCTCAGGAAGTGAGATAAATATGTAGCTGTGTTTGTCTGCATGTGTATGTATATGTAAATGTTCAGCTGTAGTGTTGATTTATTCTTGTGAATTGACCATTCTTTAGCCCCGCTTTAAGAATGTTGCTGACAATCGTCTCTAGGTTACGTATGTAACCATGGTTCCCCGAGGGAACGAGACGCTGCGTCGAGTCGCTTTGGGAACGCCCTTGCGTGACCGCGTTCTGAAGCACGTGTCAAATCCGTCCAATGGAGCAGCGAGACGTCACGAGCAGGGTGACGTAAGCACCAGAAAGCATAAAGGCACATCCGGCCGGGCGCAAACCAGCTTCGATGAAGTAGCGCCTGCAGGGATGCAGGGAGTATGGCAAAGAGACGCAGCGTCTCGTTCCCTCGGGGAACCATGGTTACATACGTAACCTAGAGACGTTCCCCTTCAGGAACTCGAGCTGCGTCGAGTCGCTTTGGGAACGAGAATACCAACTGCGCCATACTACCAAGTCCCTGCCTGTGTGTGTGTCCTATGAGCACATCACGAAGAGAGAACTTGGGAACCTGGGGTAGAAGCCAGGTCTAGGTTGTAAAAGCAGACAAAAGTGTGCGGAGAGGACCAGCCCGCCGCAGCACAAATGTCCTGCAAGGCCACACCCAAGCTGAAAGCCTTGGAGGCCGCCATACTCCTGGTCGAGTGCGCTCTAACCCCCATAGGTGAGGGGAGGCCAGAGGACTCGTAGGCTAGTGAGATGGCCTCGACCACCCACCTACCCGTAGTCTGCTTGATCGCCAGAAATCCCTTCTTTGGCGGACCAAAACAAACAAAAAGCTGATCTGCCTTACGCGACGGGGCAACTCTGTGTGCGTAAGCGTCCAGTGCTCGAACTGGACAGAGCAGATTACGCCTTTCTTGGCCTACTTCCTGGTATGGAGGAGGACAGAATGCCTTAAGTACTATGGGCCCTGGTGAAGAAGTGGGCACCTTAGGGACATACCCGGCCCTCGGGTAAAGGAATGCCCTAACCATGCCTGGAGCGAACTCCAAGCATGAAACAGAGAGTGCCTGAAGATCCCCGATCCTTTTTAGTGAAGAAATAGCGAGGAGAAAGATGGTCTTGAGCCTGAGCAACTTGACCGAACTTCTTCTATAGGTTCAAAGGGGGCATTGCATGAGCCCTCCAGAACCACAGCCAGGTCCCATGAGGGCACCTCGGTGCGCTGTACTGGCCTCAGCCTCAGAGTGCCACGGAGGAAACGAGTGGCAAGTGGGTGTCTTCCCAATGATTGACCACCCAGAAGGGCGTGGTAAGCAGCTAAGGCCGCCACGTATACCTTCAGAGTGGAGGGAGATAACCCTGCGGAGAATCGCTCCTGCAGAAACTCCAGAACTGTACCAATTGGGCAGTTGACTGGGTCCTGCAGTCACTGTCCGCACCATGAAGCGAAAAGTTTCCACTTCAAGGCATACTGTTTCCTAGTGGCGGGAGCTCTGGACTGGAGTACAGCCTCAACAACCTCAGTTGAGAGACCAGATGCTAGGAGCTGTGCCCCCTCAGGGGCCATGCCCACAGCTTCCATAACTCCGCCGATTGATGTAGGAGACCACCGATGTGTTGTCTGTGCGGACAAACGCCTGATGCCCCCTTAGGTCTGGAATGTTCAGCTGTAGTGTTGATTTATTCTTGTGAATTGACCATTCTTTAGCCCCGCCTTAAGAATGTTGCTGACAATCAGAGGCTTCATGCCCATTCAAAGAGATTTTTGATTCAAGTGGATTTTAAATGCAGCTTCCAAAAGACAAAAAAATAGCTGAATAATTATTTTCTATATTTAATACAATCACACCAGCGTGATTAGAATGTTCAGCCGTCATATCATAAGCTGCTAAATCTGCGTTCACTGGCTGGCGCTGAGTCAGACGCGTTTTTACAGCACTGCGCATTAACCAATCACACACAACGCTGTTAAACTTATGAATGCAATGGCCAATCAGAGGAGTTCAGATGAGTCATCGCTAAAATGCTGGTGTTTTGTTCACTCGCTCGCTGTCTAAATACCTCTTTCTGGCGAATTCTCTCGTTAGAAACAACAAAGTGCAGATGTGTGTATAAATAAGTAAGATATTCATTTCACAGTGTAAACAGCTTCAGTGATTTTAATGGGAGTTTTTGAGAGTGCTTGAACTCTAGGCTGTCAGTGAAAATGTTCTTTGATAATGTAAATGTTCTTTGCTCTCTTTCAGTCCAATGAAAGTGTTATGATAAGTAGCCTAACTTACAATGTTTTTATCCACATTAACTTTCAATGTTAAATTCACATTAAATATAAAGTCAGTCGTATTAAAACTATGTTATAGCATGACACCCATATCTGTTACTTAAGTAAACAGACAGGTTTTTATGCATATACATAGTAATAGACTACATTATTAGGCTACTTTGACCATCGCCCACTATAGATCAACTAACATAGGTGAGAATCCAGATATTTCATGATATAGTTAATGCGTTTGGGAATGTTTTGAATAAAAAGGAAAATGAATAAATAAAACATATGAACATAAGTGCTATTGTGGCTGCTGTGTGTCACATGACCACCCCCCTCAAAAATAACGAGTGCATGACGCCCCTGCTGACAATTATACCTTAGAACGTCTGCTGTCTACCATTTTTTCCGAAAATATTTAGCTTTTTTCAAATGTACATCTATGGAGGTTCTGTTTGTTTGGTAAGTTTAAATACCAAATTACCAAAAATATGGTAAAGCATTGTTTCCCTTGTGTTAACAATTGCGTTCCCTAATGCTATCAATTGTAATTAGAGTTGCAAAATGGTGGAAAAGTTCCAGAAAATTTCCAAAACTTTCCATAAATTTTGGAAATTTTCTGAAACTTTTGGAAAGTTTCCAAAAAATTTTCCACCCCTTTGCAATCCTAATTTTAATTGCTTTCAAATTAGGCTTTTTTGGTCAATTATAATTTGCAGTCTCCGCTGTTTTAAATTATGTTTTTACTAAATTTCACAATTTCTTTTAAAAATAGCAGATACAACACTTTTCAACTACATGATTTATTTAAGCCAATATAACAATAATACCTTTTTACCACTTCATGAGCACATTTTACTGAATATTACGCTGTTCAAAGAATGTCCAGTTCATTTCTATAGGATGTTTTGTAAAGCTGGTTTGGGTTAGCAAGAGCCACCAAAGGGACGAGGCTTAGCAAAGGATAAATTATATTTTCAGAGCGATCAAATGTAAAACTGATTTAAATGGGTCGCATCTGAAGTTGCCTCTAAAAGTGATTTAAAGTTTGTAAAGAACTTAAATAGAATTTCCTCTCTAATATGTAGAAAATTCTGAGCTAATGTGTAATGTAAACCAGTACATATCTGCAACAAAAACAGGAATAAACTATTCTGAGGCTATGCTCTGAGTTATTTCAGGCTTTGCAATCTTCTAATCTTTGCTGTATTGGCTACAGTGTGGATATATTGCACATTCCCCAGAGCCATGTAGCAGCACTCAATGTCTTACTGCCTGTAAATCTCACTTACTTACAGACTGTTTACTGCCCTCTTACTGCCACAAACAGCACTGCCTGACCATTACAATTACAAATAATTACCATCATTACAGTCTTGCAGGCTAATTGATGAGAGAAACCAGTCAATTTGGTTTGTTTGTGTGTGTGTGTGTGTGTGTGTGTGTGTGTGTGGAGAGAGAGAGACAGAGACATCTAACAGTGACATAATAGTCTGAAAAAAAAGCACAGTCATTGGAGATTGGGTTTGAATTGTATTGTCACAAGTCTGGATTATAATATATAACACAGAAATACTGAATAGCCAGCAGGTGGAGGGGAGCGAGAGCTATTTCACATTTAACAAAAACATGCCGATAGAAATTGAGGTTGGTTACTTTATAGATTTAAAACGTGAACTTTCAGCCAAGGGGCAAAATAGGAAGAGACAGAAAAAATCTGTTATTAAGCGTGCTTATGTTAGGAGGAAATCAAAAAAGGATGCGTTTGCCCCCAGAAATAAAGTTTTTTATTTTTCTCTTCATCTATCACAGCAAGCAATAGTCATGTGGTGCTCTCTAGTGTTGAAAAGCGGAATTGCAATTACATATAATTTATCATCACTAGAGTAGAAGAATGTCGTCTTTACTCACTGGAAACAACAGAGGGCAAATTAAACTCGTTTGCGTGTATTTGTAGCTGAATGCATCGCCGTTTGCGAAATAAATAACACCGTTCTAAAGTTAAACTATTTTTAACTCATTTAAAACATTTTCTTGTAAACTGCAGCTGAATTTTGCATCTTTATTTCATCACCATTGCTGCTTGCACTCACAATTTCCCATAAATTGTATTTTGTCGTTGAAAACTGAATATAACGCTAGACCACTGCTACGTTGTCCCAATACTTCAAGTCCCAGAAATCTTAGCGAGTTCAAAATGGCGCCCAGTCAATGACAGTAGTGACACTAGTACGCTGAATACTGTGGATATTTAAGTGCCATCGTATGTCCTCGACAGAATGACACTACTAATTAGAGTATCGAAACAAGTACAGAGGAAATCTTTCCAAAATCCCTTATTGTATAGGCTTTTATCGGAGAGCTCGGCTTTACGGAAAGGCCCCGAGAGCAAAGAGGAGTGTAAATGGTTGCACGGATCGTCTCAGGAAATTTTATCCGTAGTGCGTGGGCATGTTGAAGTTAGACAGTGTTTCATCAGCGAGGAAGAGGAGAATGCCCTTTTCAAAGAAGTAGAGACAGGACTTAGAAAAAAGCGATATGAGTTTGACCACTGGGACGATGTAAGTACTATTGAGAAGTGTGTAAACACTGCCATCCAGCGTCATTTCATACCCGTTGTTTGTGATTGCTACTCTCAACGTTTTTATGGTTGTAGCTTATGTGTAGTGTACTGGAGTAGTTCCAACCTACCTGTACTTTCCAAGTGAACCCAAGACTTTCTTGAAAACGTTCCCACTATAAGTGAAATAGGTGTGCTGATTAATAATACCTTTTATAAGAGAAAGCGGTGAATAAAGAATTTGAGTTAGCCAATCAGAAATCTAGCAGGTGGCTCTCTTCCAATCCCATGAGTTTTGGGCGGGGCTACTTTGTCGGAACAACCAAAGAGAGGGAAGTGTTTGGGAAACCTGCTTGGAAACAGTCGTTTTATCGTCGTTGGTGCAGCTCATTCCGTTGAAAAACAAAACAAACAAACAAAAAATATCATAATAAAGCTTAATAAAATAGACACAGTTTATTACGTTTTATGACTAAGTGGGTTTGGGTTTCATGTGTCCCACTACACATGAACCTAAAGTAAAACTAAAATAATTTCCATTGAAATTAAAGATCCACCTTTCTACAGTCTAGGTCTTGACCTCAATTGTTCTCCACTTGTTAATAAAAACCAAGATTGTTGTTATAACTAAATAAGGTTGTAAACATGTTTCTAGGGCATTTTATTTGTAAAATTCCTACTGTTAATTATTGGCCATTGGCTATTAATTACCTTCGCCCCATTTTCCAGTTCTTTGGTACATTTCTCTTTCACCACTCAGGCTATTCACGGCTACAGAGAAACAGAGCGCCTGCAGTGGGGAGTTATGTGTGAAAGTATCTTAAGGCGGGTGAGAGCAGTTGCATTTCCTGAAGGCAGTCCACTGCTTGGGCCAATTCATGTTCTGGACCTGGACAAAGAGGGCTATATCAAACCCCATATTGACAGTGTGAAGGTCTGCCTCTCAGTTATTTGTACAATATTGATGTTCTCCACACTTAACACTGTTATTTGTACATAATTAATGTTCTCTGTGCTTGCTGTTCTCTCTTGCCAGTTCTGTGGAAGCACTATTGCAGGGCTGAGCCTGTTGTCCGATAGTGTTATGCGAATAGTCCCAGAAAACAAATCCACAGATTGGGTGGACTTGCTTCTGAGTCGGCGCTCACTTTATATATTAAGGTATATACCCAGCATTTTTTTTTTTTGATCTCTCACAAAACTGGCAGAAGACTATTTTGGTTTCCACAAAATGTGAACATCTATTTTAGATGACATTCAAAATTTGAATTGTAAAACACGTGTTCATATCAACAGGGATGATGCTCGATTTAAATTCACCCATGAAATCCTGAAAGATGAAGAATCCTTTTTCTCAGGACAGAAGGTTCCACGTCATCGCCGCATCTCTGTCATCTGTCGAAACCTGCCTGTTTAAAAGAACTGGACTGACCTTGGCACTTGTCTTGGAAATGCTGTGGCTTTTTCATACCACCTTTGACTAGAGTTGTTCATCTTTCAGATACTCACACACACGGGTAGCTAAAAATGTATAAATCAGATGCATTTTCCTAGAATAACCACAAAGAAACAACTGCTGGGAAACAATTTTTAACATTAGGATAACATTCACCTCACTGAAATGTTGTCCAAATACCTGTATTGGATAAATGAAGGGAAAAGATTGATTGATACAATGTATAATGTAAATTAAGTCAGGGAAAAGGATTAAGACAGTGATTGGAACTGCTTCTTATTTACAATGTCTATTAATAAATATTTTTTGCTATCCACTATTGTGGCTTTCTTCTCAAACAATACATTACTGATGTAAGGTCAAAAATTATCAAAGACTACTGCTTTCCTGTCCCAAACCTATCTTCAGTAACAAAAGGGCCATTTGGCATTCCTGAAGGCACAGAGGTGCTGATAGTGATCAAGGCCTGTAGGCCAACATGTGTATACATCGGGGGTCTGCTAATTGTCACACCTTTTGCCCAGTGGGTGAAGTTATAATCTGCTGATTGGTCAGTTTGAATGTCTCACATTTGGTTTTTAGTCACATGGTCAAGGAAGGGATAAAAGAGGACTGTAACTGTTGCTCTGTCTCTTTTCTTTGTTCCCTCTTTTCTTTGTTGGAGCTCTTCTTGGGTCTCTGCCCTCTCTCCCTCTTTTTCTTCCTCTCTCGATCTCTTTCTCTCAGGTAATATTTTACATGTTGGGTACAATTAACTATGCTTTACCATCCTTCATCTATTTTGTAACCAATTCAAGTGTAACCATAACAAAATATTATTAAACCATTTCAATTATTATTTATCTGCTAACTAGACTTGATTCAAGGTTAATATTAAAGTGCTACCTATTGCAATACAATAGTCACACAATAGCAACGCTCTCCCATATATGTAGCTATTCTAACTGCGCTTATTTCCGTCGTTGGTATAAGTGGCAGTGGGTGGTAATAGACTAGAAATGTACAGTTTTATACCATCGTGCTGATAACGTTTCTTTAGTCATTCGGCAATCCTACAGCCTGAACCACCGTAGAGAAACCATCCTTTCACTGATGCATACAATATGAAATTTAAACAAATTAACAAACACTGTTATTTATTTAGGAACAAATTTAATGTACTACCAAAGGAGAAATCTGCAAAAGTTTTACTTTTTACAGCCAGTTTAAAAAAAAAAACACAGCAAACAAATGTGATAAGAAATTAATGTGTAATAAAAGCCACAGATGCAATTGTATTCTCTGGGTAAGGACCCTCTCAAAATTCAGCAGGTTTTCATGAAAAATCATTGTGTTGATATTACCCAGCTTCTCTCTGTTATTCAACTTGTCATTAACAGGCATAAATGTGGAATTTGCAAACATCTTTCCTGTATCCGTTACAATATACAAAAACCTACTCCATTGCTTGCTTCTCAGTTTTCGGTCTCATCTGAAACTCGATTAACAGCACTTAAATACTACTGTTAATAAATGCTGAATAGTTGAAAGCAAAATGACAAATTTCAGATCAAGTTGGTAGCCTTGACCCAAAAGAGCTGTATTGTTAAAGGAGAGGCTGCTGGTGATGGGCGCTCAGTTCCACTCTCTCCTCAGCTGTGCTCACTCAGTGAGGTAGAAGTGCATCTTGTCATTGATGTTCTTCCTCTCTGGGTTGAGCCTCTTCAAGATCTGGGCGAGCACGTTGACCGTCTGCTCACTGCTGAGGCCTGTGCGCTTAGTCTGGAACTTCTTCAGCAGGTCTTTAGTGGTCATGGGCTTCCTGATGAGATACCTGCGCACGGCATCCTCCGTCAGCAGCACATCACTAAAGGGGAGATGTTATACATGCTTGAAATAAGCGAGACATAATGCAGTTTGTGACTGTGGCAATGCTTGATGGGATAAAATGTGGTGAAGAATTGTGATGTTTTGAGACATTTGTCATAAACTCTGCATTATGGGTCTAATACACACAGTGTCATAGTGTTACTGGATACAGTTCTGCAGTGCTTCCCACAGGTTTGAAATATACTTGCGGTGGTAGCCGGGTGGAAAATCCTATTACCCACGGCCAAAAATGGTCTACTACATGTGACAAATAACAAATAATGTGGGATTTTTAACAATATTTGTATTTATTGAAATTAAATTAAATTACATAGGCTACTATTACATTTAATAACATACTCATATTATGCATTGTGCAAAATTACAGCATGTAAATGGTAGAATTCTCCTTGCTTTGTCATGTAGTGTCTCTCTCAGTGAATGGGACACAGATTTTACTGATACTAGTAAAATCTATTTATTGAATAATGTGTCAAATAATGTTCTTTGACTTTTCTTCCTGTGGGGAAGCATCCCAGCCAGAAACTACAATAGTTTCCTATGAATTAAATGGAAATTAAATTAAATACCATTTATTGTGCAACCAATAACGCCCAGAAAAGAAAAACGTGACTTTTTATTAAAAGCAAGCCCGAAAAACACCGGGACTCTTATTTTTAAATGTCTACAATGCGGCCTGGTCCTTCAGATGAGAGATCAAATATGCATTCTTACAATCGTCTAAAACATATTATATAAAGGTCTCATAAAGTAGACATTGTCATAATTCAACGAGTTCATAAGCAATCGCTTACCATAAATGTGCGCTATTCATTGATTGAGAGTCACTTTGAAGCAGTCTGAACTAGCGCTGTTGCCTGAACCTGTTGAACAACGTGCAGCGCTCTTTTTAAATGAAATCATAGCCTTTTGAAGTTTAATAATCAATAGGCTCAGGCTGTATCGCAATTTATGTTTTTCCATCCTCAAATATAAGACGTCTTAAAATAATCATTAAGATGTTTGTTTTACCATTTCATGTATTGAAGACTTTATGAAATTAAATTTAAGAAAACTCGCCCTGAGGGATTTTGCTTTATTCGCACGAGTGCTCCTAAATACATTTTACAGTTCGCACACATCTATTTTTAGTTACAAATACGAGTGAAGCGCCCACAACTGTCTATGGGCTTACATTTCTGCCATAATTCTGCGCGCGAAAGATCATATTTTGAGAGCACAAAAGTGCATTTTGCACGCGCGCGATCTGAGTTTGTGGAGAAAATTTTCGTTTTGCAAAGAAAAAAGTCTTTCGAGCGCATGGAAATCACTTTTGCATTTAAAATACGTTTTTGGATGTGTGCAGACCTTCTCTTTTGCGCGTGCAACGTTTCACTAGCTTGCTCACCTGATGCCCCCCCCCTCTGTGCTCGCAAAATGCCAACAGCTCGCGTGCGCAACACAACCCAGCCTTACAATGTGCCATAATTCCAGCCAATCAGAGACCGAGGCTGCTAAATTCTGATTGGCTGCCTTGACAACCAGTCACAACATTTCTTGCATTACCTCGACAGCAGAAGAGGACAAATACAGTGCATGCATAATTATTATGCAAGTTGATATTCTGATTATATTTTTTTCCAAGCACATTTGACCAATTCCAAACGACATCAATCTTAACAACTACTATTAATCTTATTTAATAATTTATAATTGATATATAATTATTCATGAAGGCTGAAGTGAAAAATGTCTTATATTCAGGTGTGCATAATTAAGCAGATTTTTTTTTTACAGATAAAATGAGCCAAAAAAGAGATTTAACTCTTAAAATTTATTAAATGCCCATGAGAAATAAATATTCAAAACTAATACAATACTAGAAATTGCAAAGTGAATGCATAACCATTGGACAGCAAAATGCTCAGTGGGTCAGCAGGGCAGTCAAAAACATGTGGAGAAGAAAAGATTCATGTTAACTGCAAAATAATTAGGAATTAAGGTGAAGAATTAGGTGTGAAATCACCAGGAACCATTTAGTCTCCAGCGCCACCATTTTCCAGAACTGCAATCTACCTGCATTCTCCAGAAGTACAAGCTGTCAGGTTCTCAGAGACTTGGGTTAAGTATAGAATCCTAAAAAATAACCCCTACTTAATAAGAATCACATACTGAAGTGTAGTAAAATGCTTGAATATATATATATATGCTTTATAGACAGATAAGTTGAGAAGGACCAGCACCACATCCTCTTGTACCACTGTTTGAAGAATTTATCTTCCGGAATCTGGCAGTAAGTTTTGGGAGTTCATTTTTAGTCCATCTCGAGATTTTATCTGTAGAAGATAACCTGCTTAATGAATATAAAGCGTTTTTCACTTCCAGCCTTCATGAACAATAATATATAGATTATAAGTGATTAAATACAAGATTAATAGTAGTTATAATTATTGGTAAAATGTGCTTGGAAAACAATATAATCAGCATGCACTGTATTTGTCCCCTTCCGCTGTCGAGGTAATGCAAGAAATGTTGTGACTGGTTGTCAAGGCAGCCAATCAGAATTTAGCAGCCAGGGGGGGGGCATCAGGTGAGCAAGCTAGTGAAACGTTGCACGCGCAAAAGAGAAGGTCTGCACACATCCAAAAACGTATTTTAAATGCAAAATTGATTTCCATGCGCTCGAAAGACTTTTTTCTTTGCGAAACGAAAATTTTCTCCACAAATTTAGATCGCGCGCGTGCAAAATGCACTTTTGTGCGCTCAAAATATGATCTTTCGCACGCAGAATTATGGCAGAAATGTAAGCCCATACACTGTCTTGCCCTGTCTTTGGCTCTGCAGCGCACGAGGGAATGTCAGCGGGAGGAAACAGTTCTCGCGCACACAGAACGAGCAGATACAAAACGTAGGGCAAGGGGAGATATTCCACTAGTTAATCGATCGCGAATGTTTTCATTATTTTGGGTGGATAAAAAAAAAACTATAAGAGGATAAAAATAATAAAAGCAAAAATGCCCGCCCAAGTAAAGTCTATGTGGGGGAAACGCTGGTACTGTATGGTTTAATGCAAGTTTAACTGGGTCCTCCTTCTCTCAGGGGATAGAGGAAATCAGCTGAAAGCTGGAGAAAAGACCCAGGACACAGAGATAGGGAGAAGAAATGGAGAGCTGAGGGTTTAGATAATGTTTAAGAAAAAAAAGCACCTGGCACTGGGGGTGGATTTCCCTGACGCTGGTTGGGGTGTGCTCTTCCCTGAAGAGCTCTGAGGGCTGGGCTCCATCTTTAATCTCTTCGCAGCTGGAGTCTCTGAGCTGAGCACAGTTGTCTGCCGCTTACCTGAGACAGAGGAGCAGATACATGAAGTTAAAACTTTACCTAACCCTTAGCAGTGAAGAGAAACAGAGGCAAGATGAGATACTAGTCAGATAATACAAGCAATGTCACGGCTTATTACAAAAATTCTCTCATCATCTACTCACCCTCATGCCATCCTA